GGGTGTTTTGCTATTTGAAAAGGGTGTTTTGCTATTTGAAATGGGTGTTTTGCTATTTGAAAAGGGTGTTTTGCTATTTGAAAAGAGTGTTTTGCTATTTGAAAAGAGTGTTTTGCTATTTGAAAAGGGTGTTTTGCTATTTGAAAAGGGGTTTTGCTATTTAGAAACGGTGTTTTGCTATTTCAAACAAGGACTCCAAGGTTTCTTAGTGCCATCAGTGCAATCATGTTTCATGCCAAGACATCTCAGACACATGATATACCAACTAAATTACGGTATTGAATACCTTGGACTTGGAAAGGTCATGTGCTACCAGCAAAAAATAAGTATGCAGATAGCAAGAGTTCTGTGTACCTACGTGGTATGTGGCTGAAAACAAAGAAGTACCAGACAGTAACATTGGCATACCTCTGGTACGTAAGTAGGCAAATTATCGCACCCTGCTACAAACACTGACAATATGGGATGGTCTTTACTGGAGAATTCATACCTCTTTAATGGCATCTTCATATTTTTGTTTGATGAGTTCACATTCTCGTTCCTTCTCTTCACCAGCCGCCTTGCTGTCCCCATCATCTTTTGCATGATCATCAACATTCGCCAATTCCTCAGCACGTTCCTGTTCCATTTTCTTCAATTTCTTAACAACGCTGTCGTATTTTCTGTGAATGACCCTCAGCTCTGTTTTCAAGGAGGTTGTGTCTTTACAGGAGTCATGTTCGATCATGCTCACACTTCGGTGTACATTTCCTTGCTTCGGCCCTACACATTAAGATGAAAGCAACAAAGTTTTATCTTAACTTTAACTCATTAAGCTGCAATGTGCCCTAATGAGAGTTATGTGACCTACTTTATTACTTTAGGCTGCATTTAGCATCCGGCACTTGTTTTGACATTTAGTTTGAACACAACACGTCCAAATGAAATTGGGTACAATGCCCAAGAAAGGGCACTAGTTACTTCTATTCCAGAGGTAGTACTCAACAACAGCTATGGGCTCAAAATGTTTTGGGAACCAGTTTGAACATTGGGCACCAGTGCCGGGCGCTCAGCGTGAACACAGCCTTTCTCTGTCTAACACCAGATAATTTTACTTGTCAAGGGGAGAATCTTGCTCTTCAATGAGTTAACAATAATTCATAAGAAACAATGTTCACAAATAGCAATCACAATTATTTCACACTGTTTCAATTTACCCTTTAATTGTACATCAGAATAGGTCAGTGATATCAGTATACCGTACCTTGATTGCCCTCTTTGTCTCGTTCAGAATGCTTTGATTTGTTTTTAGAAATACGACCAGAACCTAAAACAAAATTATATCTTTGGTCAAATTAGAGAAATAATTTCATCAAGGTCAATCAGATGTCATCGTTCTCAAAATGACTATTTCACGATAGGAATTCATTCCTGAATGTTTTAATACAAAAACAGGACATGTTTTCTCATGAGAAAAGGATGCATAGATCTGCAGTTTTGCTCATATGAGTAAATCCATTTACCAAGTCAAATTTGAGTTTGAGTCAACTCCAAGCCCCAAATGTCTGAGTCATGTAAAAAAAGACAAAATTGAATAAAATTCACAATCAAATCAGGTTAGGAGTAGGGTTAGGGTACTAAGTCATTGAACTACAAAGACCGCTAAACACTCATGACTCAGACATTTGACTCAGGCTCGAATTTGACTTGGCTCAGTTAACCAACAAACTCTTGTTCATACACGTTGAGAAACAGAGTTACGAGCATCACAAGGCAAAAGTTGTGTCATATTTACCAGCTATTACAATTGATGTTGATTGCCTGGTATGCCTGCCATATATAATAAACGGTTTAAAATCCGTATTAATTGGAACTTTGTCTCAGCGATCTGGCTCAACGATTAATTGAATCAACTCCAACAGAGCTAAATATATACCGTACTAAAAACAAACTTTTAACCGATAACACTACAAACAATTAAACCAGCATATGCCAATTAATTTATCTATGGCAAATTATAAATTTTATCTGCATCACCGAATGTAAACAAAGTCACCTAGATGAAATTTGAAATCGTCACTTTAATATGAGCCACGATAGTATGTCGAAACGACTTCACCGAGCGCAAATTTGCAAATAAATCGTAAACAAAACGACAGAACAAAGCATCTGGCCGATTTTCCAGACATCATCTTCATTAAATTTGATGTAAACAAAATTTGTATACCTGAGTACAAATCCTTTGGAGGATCCATTCCTAAGAACATACAATTGAGCATGTACGGATATGTCGTCTCCAAAATCACACAAAAACGTTTAAATTTATCATAGCCTTTCGTCTTGAGCAAATCCAGCAGCCGATCGACCCGTTGGCTACCGATTTCTGCTTCAATTATTTGCCAGTCTGATTCGCTTAAAATATGGCTGATGAGTAAAGACGAACTCAATCTTTCGATGTTAACAGCTTGCCGAAATTTATCTCGATGCCGATCTAAAATCCGCTTGTAGTCTTCTTCCATTTTCGATTTCTTGCTAAGCCATTTTGTGGGGTTTTATCGAGCAAAATATATGTTGTTTTTGTGAAACAATCGATCGTCGTCTTAATCGATTTTCGTCCATTTTATTATTATGTATATAATATATTTTGGTTTCTAAGGCACAGCCTGTTCGCAGGTTAACTCGCAAATTATGCAGAAATACGAAGGATTTGGAATCTCGAAGCATCGTCTGACAACCGAGGCCATAGCGCGAGTATATTCGAGGGTAAGGTGTTAAATATCCTTGATTTTCTTCTGTGTTGGTGTAATGCACTCAGGTGAATATGTTGCTCTGGCAACTGAGCTACGCGCTAGCAACTGAGCAACTGAGCATTGGGCTAGTATTCCAAAGGCCGTAGGTTCGATTCCCACCGTGGTCAGGCATATTTTTCAAGCTTGCCCGGTGTGGATATACACTCAGAGTAACATCACAAACATCATATTCACCTGAGTGCATTACACCAACACAGAAAAAAATCATGATCATTATTAGATAACATTGATATCGAAGGAACTAGATTCTGTTTCGAAATATCACATACTCGAACCGACCAGACCGCGTAGCTCAGTTGGCATTCCCACCATGGTCAGGCATATTTTTCAAGCTTGCCCGGTGTGGATATACACTTAGAGTAACATCACAAGCAGGTGTTAAATATGTTATATGTGACCATATATGTATATCTTTGCTATTTTTCCATTGCGAAGGCAAATCTTCTTAGTGCACGATGGATGGTTCGTGTTTAAAAAAGCGATGGGTACACGATTTCCGCATTCATACACGGACAATCTCGCACTCAGATCATACAAACGGGCATGCGCAGAACGCTCTGGGTACGAGATTGACACACACACGTATTATCAAACAGATTGAGAGAGATATAACTGTACCTAAAAATATATATTTGCCCAAGTTCGTCACTACTCCATCAGTTTTGGCCTTAACCTTCACCGTGATTATTTTTCCACAATTTATAGATTTCCGGTAATTCAAATCTACTTTGTTGGAAGCGTGCCTATCGTTGAAAGACAAAATATACCGGAAAACAATCGAAGTCTAATTGAATTAAGAAGCTTTGCATCAGTTCCCAATAAATTTTGATTGCCAGCTAGATTTATTTTCAAAATATTGTGCAGTCAATATGAACGTCACCGACAATTATGAACAAATGACTGTTTAATTGAGAAGAAAATTCAAAAGAAATGAATTTTTTTATATATCAATGCCTCTGCACTCCGGATGCAGATTTAGCCTTGATTAACATAATCTTTTCATTTCATTTTCACAGCTTGAAAGCAGCTTACATCTTAAAAACAGTCAACAAAAATACGGTCATTTCATATGTGTATTATGAGTACGATAAAGCGCACGTAAATTTCGTGACTGGGGATTTATATATCGATACATACGACTTCAAAACTCAAAAGCTAATATCGGCAATTAGACAACTGCAGTTTATTTCTGACGTATTATAAAAGTACTTAATGAGCTTGGCACGCCAATTACTGAATTAGACTACTTAGTATAATTTGGCGAACTCCTGATCATATTCAGTTGATCAACCTAATTTTTCGAGGGAAGCGCAATTTACAAATGTCTGTATATTCTTACGGCTTGTCGTGGCCGAAAATGTACATGCCAAACAGCTGATACGGGAACTTTTATTTCCCTCCGTCATTACGGAGGATTGGTGCATTCGAAGTCAAAACTTATATTGAAAGTCTCGAACGAGGGGGGGGGGAGTAGACCCCACTTCCCAGCCTAAATTTTCTCTAAATTCATTTCTCATTCAGTGCAATGTTTCTCAGCCCTTTTTTAGATCAAATTCCAGCCCCACTGTGAAATTGACTTCATTGAGCAACAAGTCGTTTAAATAAAGACATTGCTCTGTAGCTTTTCTTAAAGTTATTCCACTTGACTCTGAAATGTCCAACTACAACAGTCTTTATAATGGTATCTGGGTTTCTCATTTACTCCCTATATATAGTCATTTTTCTTTTATTCAAAATACAACTCCCTCGGGGCTATAAATATGCCCGACATATTCGCGCTTTTGCCGAGGTGAAGGTTTCGCGGTTCAAGTTTTGACTTTCAAAGAACAGCGTTAATTAAAAACAGGCGTGCGAGCAGACCGTAATGTCAGTTTGTGGGGAAGTATTCTTCGAACAATCCATGTCCTCATTTATGCATACTCCAGTATATACATACACATCCATTATGGTTTTTGGCAACTTTTTGCCCTTCGAGATCGAGGCTTCGAGTTCTGACTTCGAAACCGGACAACCTTAAAATTTGTTATTTATACTCGTCCATGCAACACGCATACGATAAGCACGTGAAACAAGCGCACTAAACACTCACAAGTTCTCCTTGTGTTTTTTTCACGTAGGAAAGTTCCTGGATACGAGATTGGTTGTATCCCTATCAATTAATATGTAGCTTTTTTAAGCCTGGCCAGTCGTAACTGTCGTAAAGATAGACTCATGAGCTTTCTCAACGGCCAGATTGGCAGATTATAATAGTTTTTACCTGTAAACCACATATAAATCATAAGTATTCTTTACTTTTACAATCACTCTGTCTATTATCAGTGTTAAACTGTTGTATTTCAGTCGTCGAGAAAGATCATGACTCAATCTTTACGACCGTTACGATATTGCTGACACTATTCACTAACACAGAGAGTGATGCATATATAGTTCCACGTGCAGTCAGGCAAATAAATAAAATGTGGTTACGGGCGGCTGATAAAAGCGGCAAGTACATATGAATATATCAGTGCAAACACATAACATCATCAATTGTTCATTGAGAAGCATCATCCTGTTCGAGTCTTTGTTGCAAATTTTATCGAATAACAGTTGCAACTTGTGAGTAACCTTTACCATTGTTTTTCCGAGTCGTTGTTCATTAACATCAGTTTCACCGCAACAAACACATAACAAATGCACTGCCAGGAACACACACACACATTCAAAAGGAACAGATTTTACTTGCATACAACACACAACGACATGCGTTCAACACGCTCGTGCAATGCACACATAAACACATATACACTGAGTGATCTGCAACCAAATACTTCAGTCTTCACCAGGAACCCAAATAATTTTTTTGAACTTCCTTGTCCAAAGGGCCTAGGCCATAACAAAGTTAAACCAGACAATCTGGCGTACATATATTATAATTTGACTTACAGTGCAACTGCCCACTGCTCGCTGATTTCCAAACTACAGTATTGGCTACTGGTGACTGTTTCAGTAAAGGGGATATAGGGCTGCAGATATTGTCATATTGATCGAACTATCGACCCTTACAAGTCGGAGCAAGCGCGTCAAATCACATCTCTAAATTCAGTACACTCGCTTCTCAATAGTAAATAGCAGACTACTCCATGTACAATGAAAAGATAATTTCGCATTCTGGCCGGACTGTCGGTTAGCCTCAATACATCCTGCTACGTGATACTACTTAGCGAATCTCACCAATATAATATATATTAGCTTATAATTATTACAATACAGCATCTTACAGCCATACCACTGACCTTCGCAACAATCTCAAAACCGTCTCTCATAACCTTATCCAACTTTTGCCTATCATGTCCACAACAGATATCTCCAAATGCACTTCGGAATCTTCGCGTTAGGATGTCATGAGTCCTGTCAGCAATAAAGCAGTTTATTAAAACAGCTTGAAAGTTCGAAGTGCCGTTTAAGGGCACCAAGCGGAAATCGAACGTAGTCATCGCATGTAGGCGGCACTCAATGTGTTAATATTTCGAGAGCAATAGCCTCTTTATACTCGCAGGCCGATTTATAATTGTTTTGTTTTGTATAAAAGGACTGCGTTTATTTGTTCGTTCTCTTTGGCAAACGGTTTTGAACTGGTGAAGATTGGCGCGCGCACGCACTGGAAAGTTTTGCGAAACGAAATGAGTTTTTGAATCCGCAAAGTAATTTTTAAGGTAATTCAACATCTTGGCACAATTTCATTTTCTTTGTCGTAAAAGCTGACAGAAGTGAAGCATTGTTCTGCACTGGTACCTCGAGTACCCACCTCCGTTAGCCCCGAAGCAAAGGAAATGAGCTGTGACCTTCATTGAAAACAAAGATTGGTTAAATCAGAGTCTATTTTAAGCGTTGGTTTGTACCATAAAACTTTCTGCCGCGCGGTTTGTTTCTCCACTACCGTCATAACCAACAACAATTCGACGTTCTCAGAGGAGCTGGTTGTGCATTTCACTTCTCTGTCTGAGCTTTGATTCCTGCAGAAAAAACTGTCTGATGATAATTTTGCCTCGTCACATGTTATTGGATCAATAAAGGAAGGCTATTCTGGACCTCCAGGGAAGAACAGTAATTATAAAGGCCTATATAGCCGGTGATTGGTATTAAACTATTTTGGTGTCCCTGTCTTTGCGAAGCTAAATAAGTAAATAAGTAAACAGTTTACGATTGATAGAGCTAAACAGTACAGTTTAGTTTAGGTTTCCTCCTGTAGTAAGCTACATTGGATCAATCAGAGAAGACTCTTATTATACCTCTTGAAAGAACAGTTTGATATCCAGTATAAACAAAGTTAATTTAGTTTATGTTTCCTCCTCAATAAGAGATGATCCTCTGGACCTCTAGGAAGAACAGTTTAGAAACTGATAGAAGTATCCAGTATAAATAAAGTTAGTTTAGTTTAGGTTTCCTCCTGTAGTAACGTTGGATCAATAAGAGATGATGCTTACTGGACCTCTTGGAAGAACAGTTTAGAAACTGATAGAGCAATCCAGTATAAATAAAGTTAGTTTAGTTTAGCTTTCCTCCTGTAGTAACACTGGATCAATAAGAGGTGATCCTTACTGGACCTCTACTCCTCTAGGAAGAGCAGTTTAGAACTGATAGAGCTATCCAGTATAACTGATAAAGTTAGTTTAGTTTAGGTTTCCTCCTGTAGTAACGCTGGATCAATAAGAGATGATGCTTACTGGACCTCTTGGACTTGGATGAACAGTTTAGAAACCGATAGAGCTATCCAGTATAAATAAAGTTAGTTTAGTTTAGGTTTCCTCCTGTAGTAACACTGGATCAATAAAAGATGATCCTTACTGGATCTCT